TCCACTTGTAAGACATTTCACAATATGTTTGTATGTTAGTTAGTTGATTAGCCCTCTTAAACTTAATTAATTAATGACGCCTGCTTTTTTGGTTATACGCACATTAGTACTACGGTGCAAGTCATTCTAATCAAGTAACTTTAAAGTTAAATAGGGAATATTGAATGATTGTATGAAAAAGCAAAGATAGTTTTACAATCCATCGTCGAGATAATTTTTTTAAAATTATTAGTTCCAGATTCCAGAGTTGTTAGCTTTTAACCCTGAAACGGTAATTATCTTGGCGATGGATTTAGAATTAGCCAATAACTGTCAAATATAAGCATTTAATCCTGTCTAACTTTAATTTTTATTTGATGTGTTGGTGTAACCTGCCCGCACTGTATATACGCAGAATCTTCTTTTTTTGTTTCACTGTATACACAATAGAAACCAGGCAGATATTTGTTTTTTTTTTTTAAAAAAAAATTAAAAGTGAACAAATATTCATTGATAATCAATATCTTGTGCAACTGAATTAAATGTAATTTTCTCGTGTTTCAAATAAAATTCATCTGTTTTGTTCATTTCTAATCAAGAAAAGTCTTCGGTCACTATAATAGGAAAAAGTAATAGTACAATAATGAGAGGGGAGGAATTTTCTGTTGCTCATATTTTGAAGAAAAGGGTGGTTCTAAGGAGTCAAGTTGGATGTGGAACTTGATGGAAGAAACTGAAATTCGTAAAAGATGGCGGGGAGATATTTGTTGAGTTAATGTTTCCGATGGTGAGTCTATAATTAATTCATTTAATCAACAATTTATAAAATGGTTTGTAAATTTTATTTTATGATATTTGTAAAAATTTAAAAATTTTTTACGCATTGAATAATATGTGAACTATTCAATCCAGGAGTGGATAAGAAGAAAAAAGAAGAAAATGAGATTTATTGAATAATTAATAATAATCGGCTAGAGTGATGAAAGAATATTAAAAAGGTTATACTCACAAAGTGCTTTGGGGCCGAGTATTTTCCTCCCATGCAATCAATCTCTAGTATATAAATTAAATTTTGTTTTAAAATTTAATTTTATGCCGATTAATTAATTTATATTTATTTACATTTTAATTTAATACAATAATTATGAACAAAGATAAAAAAATAAATTTTTTTGAATGTTCAGTCATAGAATACAAAAATGCAATGCTTAAACCATGTGTAAAGAATGAAATTCTTTAAACCAAAATGGAAAACTTTTAATGATCCTCTCTTTGTGTTATATGACATTATTAAAAGCAACGTAAACATTTATTAATTTATGTGCAAAAAAACAATCCTACATATGAATATGTATGTTTAATAATTCAAAAGAGTTTCTTGCCTATTAACTAACACAGCACAATACGTGTATACATTATTTGTTTTCAATATATTGTTAATATTAATTAAAATGTTTGTCATAACGGATTTTATTAACGAGTTTTTGATAGGGTCTTTCTATATGTACTAGTCTCATCACAGCAAATTCACGCAACATATAAATTTATGAAATTTGTCCAAATTATCGAAATTGATAATTTAGTTGGAGGAAAACTGGATTCTCTCATTGGAAAATGAAATATCTAATAATTAAATTGAAAATTCAAGAAATATAAAGAGATTTCAAATAGAGAAAAAATGATGTTAGTAATTTAATCAATCAATTATCATTTGCCTTTAATTAGAAGCAGAAGAATATATTACTATTGATGATTTTCAAATAAATAATGAAATGGTAACAGAAGAAGAAATAATTGCCTCCTTCAATCCAGAAGAAGTTGTTGAGATAACACGATGCCTAAAGTTTCAACTAAAGATGCTGTAATTGCCTTTGAGACAACTTTTAATTTTCTTCAACAAGGTGATTTAGCCATAGATTATAAAGAATTTAAGCATTTAAATCATTGAAAAAAATGAAATTATTAGATAATGAAAACCAATACAACCAAATATTGCATCGTATTTCCTAATACTAATTTTAAACGGAATAACGGGGGTTTATTATGTGGTAGTGGCCTAGAACTAGGCCCTATAAATTATGTGTGCAAAGTTTCCTATTTCTTTTTATTTTTCAAAATAATCAAATTTCAATTAATATTCTACAGAACCTAGGCTACAAGCTATGCATACTTATTATGTGTGTTTTCGCGTAATTGATTTTCCGAAAATTTGATGAAAAATCTATTTGAATCTACTAAAACAAATAAACAAAGGATAAATTTATTATTTATCAAAAAAAGAAATGAACTTTAAAGTATATAGATTTTATCAAAAAAAAAAAGTTATAACATTAAAAACCATTTCCATGTAGCAGTATAAAATGAACTAAATACACCTTCAGTTAACTTTGTTATTTTTTTCAAATTGCTCAAAAGGTATCCATTCCAAAATATAGTCTGGCAGAGATGATTTTATTTGTAATTGTTGAATAAAATCATCAACTATGTTATTTCCTAGTGAAAAGACTCTGTAATTGTAAATTAATACAACCTTCACAGAATCTATCAGAGTATTTTGTTGATTTACACTTGTTACATTCTCCTGGTTTTCCCTTTTTATACAATGCATTGCTTAGACACAAGGAATGTGTTAGAATGACTGTAATGTGTTCAAGGTAGCGTGCGTGCCTTGACATCTGTAAAATCAAATGTTTCATATTTGAATTGTTTCAGTCATGCTGCCTTGACATGTAATTTAGAGTTGGCATCCCCGTAATGTAAGATTACGGTATTATGGTGTTGCAAAAATACAACATTGGAGGGTGTTGCAACTATCCTTAATGTTGTAATATTTATTATATTAATAAAAAATATAATCCTTAATTTTCTAATTATATCATTTCTTTTCTCCCATGAATATAATAATTAAAGATGACTGATAACAAAATAAACTTAGTCCAAAATATAGTGATATTTGGGAATATTTTACATGTGGTAACCATCTTGGTAATGGACATTACCTGTAAGCCATGTTTGTCATTCTTTAAAAATGCCCAACCATATCTTTTACATTCTCATGTTTCTCAATGCTCAAAGCATCTGAACTATCAAAAATGAAGTAAATGAATTGATTTTACAAAATCAACATTTTCTATACAAGGAAAAACTCCTGGGCATTCTAGACAACGTCATATTGATGGTTATTGATTTAGAAGAACCACACATAAAACAATCGATAAAGCATCAGTTATGATGTTTATTATGTGTGCATTACCTTTCCACCTTGTAGAAAACCCGTTTTTCATTGATTTTTTAAAAGCATTAAATCTTGGATATCAACCACCTTCAAGAAAAGCGATATAGACGAAAATGGTGATCCACATGTTTATTTACCGCAATTAGATGATGAATAGATAAACGAATTCAAATTTTTTGTGTTTATGCTTACAATAATAATAATGTTTTTAAAAATGATCTAACTGCATCGTGTTTATGTTGCAACACTATGTATAATATGTAAAGTTACGGGTATGTTGTAATATTACGAGTATGTTGTAACATTGCAACATTTGATATTTGATTACGGGGACAAGCTTAATGTAATTATATATTTATAACATTATCAACGATTACACAAAGCAAATATGATCGTTCTCCATCTTGATAAGAATCTTATAATTACCTATATAGCAATATTTGCTCCGTGTTTTGATTCCAATTAAAATATTTATAATAACTATTTGTCATCAAAAATACAGTCAAAGCTTTCTGTAATGAACTCCCTGGACCGATAATTTTGGTTCGTTATAGAGAGCGTTCACTATAAAGAATCTCACTTTGTGGTCGCGTGACCGTGTTTTGAATAATTTATTGGCTAATAAGTTTTTTTTTTTTGTTAAAATAATTAATACATTGCACAATATAAAAAATTGGTGCAACATTTCAAATTTCCACTATGCTTGTTTATGTTACATGGGAGTTCATTATAGAGAGCATCATTTATTATATAAATTTGCATTTGGTTCTCTCAAAGACAGTTCGTTATACAGAATAGAGAATTTAATTATAAAGTTTGTTATAGAGAGCAAATTTAATTAATAAAAAATCAGGACCAAAATCTTAGTTCATTATATAGAGCAGTTCGCTTTTCGGGGGTTCGTTATAGAGAGCTTTGACTGTATTCGTTCTTTTGACGATGATTTCTAATAAATCAAATTATAACAATAGTCTGTTACTTTAAAACACTACTATTGCCATGTTTAGAATTTGCAATTGTCAGGCACTCATTTTTGGTTAACTTCTGGTGATAAAAGAAATGTTAATATTAATATCAGTATCAATATTAACATTAGGCAAAATAGCTCAGATTCACCGTAGAAAGGAATTATTATAAAAATTTATTTAAAATTGCAAAATAAAATATCAACTAAACTGAATCAATTGCTGGCTGATTCGTTTGATTTCCCTCGCTAACAATTATTTATTAAATATAAAAAGACACTTGTGCTCTATAATAAAATTTTTACGAGCAAATTTGAATATATAGCAATCATAATCATTTTCTTACCACCAAATATAATGAATAAACAGTATTATGTGTAAATTAATCTTGGACATAATCATCTTAACCTTTTAAACGTTGTTTGATAAATTCTACCATTCTCTCTATTCTTCGCTATTGCAACAATTTCCACAGATCCAAAGTGTAATGTTAGCAGCACAGAACGATTCAATCCTAAATGAGTGTCAGGCAAATCAACAACAAAACCACCCAATTCTTTCATTTCAGATTCACTACAATATGTTGCGCTATATTCTGCAGTACAAAAGAAGGTAAATCTCATGGAAGTTTGATCTGGGTGAATAGGAACCATATTCCTGGAAAATTCCATGCCCACATCCGATTCTGTTCCTTTTCTGGCCATAAAAGAAAACTTATAGATCTGATCATCTGTCGTTTTACGAGATGACAGATCACCAGTTTGCTATTTGAAAAAAAAAAATAGGTTGTTATTTTGAATAATTTATTGCTTTGGTTTTTGGATATATTACTGATTTGGTTTACCCATTCATGACTAAGTCTAATTCCATACGTCCATTTTAGTACTCTTGTGCTTACAATCTTCATATCAAGTCCATATTCACATGCACCCCTTACAAGTGCAGTAGCTATATCAGGCGGAACTGGGATAAAACCAAAATATTCAAGTATCAGTACTATTAGTTGTTTTGATTTTTTTTAAAAAAAAGCAAAGATCAGCCAACATACTTGCTATTTTCAATCGATCTCCGAATCTTTGTTTAATTCTAGATTGAAGATATTTTGATTCGCTGAATTCTCCAACCAAAAACATCATTGAACAGTCTGAACATTTTGACAACTGTATCTCAATCAACTTCAAAATTTTGTTGATTACTGGATCAAAAAATGATTTCACAGTATCAAAATCAAGATCAATGACCCATTCATCCTCATCTGATAATTGATCTCTTTCTGACCCAGTGACATATTGCTTAAGTGCTGGACATTTTTTCTCAATGTCCAATTCAATAATTTTAAATTTGGATTTTTCACCAGTGAATGGAATTTTAATATCAGGACAAAAATATTTATGTATTAAATAATTAACCTGACCGTAGTATTTCTCCTTTAACATGTTCATTGCAGATTTACCTACTCTACTTTCAAGAAATTTTAAGAACTCATCATCAACATAGGTACCTCCAAAAAAACCTCCTGAATGCTCAGTCACTTCTCCTATTTGTCCATCTGGTAATAATTTTCTAATTGTTAAATCCACAGTTCCTCCACCACAATCAACAACCAAGTATTTTGCTAAGTTAAATCATACAGTAACAATGTATTAAAAAATTATAAGCTGAGTAAAGTGAGCCAAAAAGCATTATTATATATACCTCCTGTTACTAATTCAAGATCTTTTAACATATTTATACAATGAATTGCAGCAGCTTCCGCTAAAATTTATATCAAGTATATTAGATGAAAATCAATCATGTCATAATGGCTTAAAAATGCTTTCTTACGTTCAGTGGTAAATTGAAGATTTAGTGTGCCTATAGATTCAATCAAGCCAGCATCGTATATACATTTTCTCATAATTGTCTTGGTATCTTCAGTGAATTCTAAAATGATGATTTTTAAAATAATTAGTATATTGTGCATATATATATGTACATGTGTATTTATAAATATAATAACTAGTTACCAGCAGGTACTGTGAAAACAAGTCGCACATGATTGTAAAAATCAATTCCAGTCCAATGTTTTACACTCTCTTTGATTGTCTATCATAAAAAATTCAAATATAAACTAAACTATCATTATGTAGCAAAAAAGCAGACATTGTTAAAATTTTAACAATGCCTGCTTTCTGCTTCATGTAAGCTGGAAATACAAAATATTTTTATCGTACCTTTCCTAAAAAAAAAAAAAAATTTCGTAATTAATTTTGAATACAATTTTTTATGTATCATTAAATGAAATAGTAAAACGTGATTGGTTACCCATTTCACGAAGATAATCCGTTATTGCTCTATCAAAAGTAATTCCGGGAGGTAATTTGGGTTTTTTGCTTTCTGGAACATTTCCTAAATAAAATTTGAAATATTCCACCGGTCTTGGTAAAGGTTTATTGGCATGTCTTCTTCTTCTACTAGGCTCAGAGCTTAATGCATCAGCTCCCCAAGTGACAACTTCTTCATAGCTTTCGTCGTATTGTAATACTGTATTGGTTTTATCAGGACTTTTGAAATGGCCCCATTCTTGATTCACTACAATTTCTATCTTCTCTTTCTCTGGTTTAATGTAAGCGTAAGAAAACCCCTAATAAAGGAAAGAAGCAAAGTATTAGTTAATTAAAAGCGAAAGATAAAAAAATAAAAATAGCATATAACAATTGAGAATAAGTTTACCGAAAATGTAGTGCCAAAATCTGAATTTAAAGTACCATAAAAAAAAGACAACATCTCATTAGAAAAAATTTTCTGTAAGGGATATTTTAGGTTTATATGCTCACCTACTCCAATAACTAAACGTATATCCTCGTTTTCAGGTTCGAATTCAATACAGTCATGCAATTCCATAATAATGAAATATAATTTTTTAATCAAAAATTACAAAAATACATAAACAGTATATATAACAGTATATTAATATAAAACAATCATTACTAAATTAATAAGTACCATTCATTCTTTGAACATTAATGTTAATATTAATATTTTTGTCATTCGGAATTTCTCCTCAACATCCAAATTCAGACTTATTAAACAATAATAACGATAAAAAAACAACTTTTTATTTGTTACATAGATGATTATGGCAAATTTTTTAAAAATTTCTCACCCTTTATTACTTATTATTTCAGAATCTCCAGATAATAATGGCTATTGATGAAACGGAAGTTATAAATGCTTAACGCCATTCAAAATTTTAATTGATGTAATTAGTACAAGTATTAATGATAATTAATATTTTTTATAGGTTTAATAATAACATTGTGAGATTAAATACCATCATCATTTTCAAATCGAGTTAATAAAAAAACCAATGTTCCGCAAAATACATAATAAAATTAATGTATTTGATGAAATAACGGTAAACCTAAATGCCTTCATGCAATTATAAATGGTGATGAATTAAGAGAAGAATTATATAGTTATAAGCATATTGTTGATGCTAATTACAAAAAAAAAATCTATAGATATTTATTAAAATATAATTTATTCAATTACATTGTCAATAAATTAATAAATCGACAAACGATGTTAGTGTTACTAGGAGACCATGAACATTTTGATTATAATAAAGCTATGCAAATATGGTTTCAATCAAAAAGATAGTGTGTGATTGCGTCAAAGTCGCAAATAATAATTATGCTTACTCTCGCTATAATTCGTATAGCCAAAACGATATTTTGCTAAACGATAAGCCATTGAAAGATTGGAAGCTTGCAGTTCATCAATACCAAGTTTCAATCCAAAAATTAATCACGTGATTAATCAAGGATGGGACCTTGGCCTATTGTATACATGACTGGAATTAGCAATTAATGCCAGTTCATTGGCCAAAATTCTCTAATTCCGCATTAATCTATTTTTATATATTTCATATAGAATTATAATTTATTTATATATTTCATATAGAATTATAATTTATTTATAGAAATTAACGCAGATTTTGCATTTAGAGCAATTTCATACTTGAAAAGTTATTTCAGGTTTAAATCACTGAATCGCAATCACAAGAAGTTGGGGCTGGTCTAGAGATGTGCCACGCACAGCGTGTGACGCACAGTGCGTGAGAATTTTTGAGTGCGCAGTGCGCGCATAGTTCTCATGTTGTACTAGATAGCATGCATCTACAAGTTTTTCCGTATTAATACATTTGCAAAAGGTTTACAATAATTGCCAATTCAGACAAATTGTTAGGACGAAGTATTTTTAGTTAAGTTTTTGTAGACATTAATTAATAAATATTTCTAGTTAAAGAATATATATAAATATGCTATTTGATTTTTTCAAAGGCCAACATTATTGCGCATTCATGACAATTCTCTGTGTACTATTACTATTACTATCTCTTAAACTGACAAAGTATTGTTTAATGATAACGCGAAATGATTTTTTGATCACGATCTTGCATTCTTATTGGCCAATTTAACGATCTGCAAAGTAAAATAGTCAATCGACCAACTTTTAAAGGAAGATTTTACGAAAACCACAAAGTGATACCTTCAGAAAAAATTTTTTATAACAGAAAAAAATTTATGCTATCAATAGCCGAAAAACTGTTTAAGGGATAATAGTAATACACTATATGCATTATGTGCACTATGCGCACTGTGTGCGAAAAAAATCAGGGTTACTATGAATGGCACATCTCTAGGCTGGTCATGTTGTATGTGAGAAAATATGTGCGGATTTTTTAATGTTACACATATATATCGAAACATTATTATTTGGAAATTTAGATAAGCTTTAAAATGTAAAGGCTCAATAACCGAGCAAACTGTGTGTATAATATTTCCGTAATTGTATTTCTAAACACTCAACTAATAGCCTGTCAAAGAGTTTTTTTATTTATATTAGTAAAAAATTTTTTCAAAGTTATCAATTTTATTGATTTATTACAAGCAATGGAAATTAGATAAACTATAAAACGTAAAGGTTCAATGACCAGGCAAACTGTGTGAATAATCTTTCCGCAATTTTATTTATAAACGCTCAATTAATAGAGTTTTTTTTCATTTTATTGATTTTTACAGTGCGTAACATGGGGCATACTGCAACAAAACCAAACAAAGTGAGCATTGGTATTACAAAGGATTTCAGGGATCAATAGTGTTTGTTTAATATCACAATTGTATTACAATGTAATGTGATCATGATATTTGTCTAGACAAAAATAGTTAATATGAAACTCATTTACATTAGGTCTACTATGGAACCAAAGAATTATAGTACTATTAGAAGTATTTTGAAGAAAGAACAAGGTGAAAAAATTGCTCCTTATATTTTTAAATTAGCAGATACCAAATCTTTGCAAACATATTTAGACAAAGAAAAGATTACTTATGAAATTTACCAAGAGGAAAGAGTTTTCAAAAGAGTATTAGAGAATTCTAGTAAAGAATCAAGAAAAAAAAGAAAACTGGCAGAATAACTTGATAAAACAAATAATTACTTTTTTTTCAACTTTGTTAATTTTTTAATTACCTTTTATTTTCAATCAAGATCATCTTTTAGTTTCTTTAACTTCAATTTGAGCAACTTGTTGAGAAGTTAACTGTTCTAACTGAGTCTTTAACCTTTTGATTTCCTCTTTGTGATTATCATTCTCTTCTTCTAACTGCTTAATTCAGTCTAATAATTCTTGCTTTTGTCTTTTACTTCACTCCTCAGACTTTTCTTGAAATTTGACTGCTTCTTCCCTTTCAATTTCTAAGGCTTCTTCAGTCTTGTTTAGTTGTTCTTGTAGGGAGTTTATTTGTCTTTCATAAAAAGTAGACTGACTTATTTCTTCATGAGGTAAGAGAGGAAGTTCCTTCTCTTCTAAATCTTCATTGTTTCTAATACAGTAGCAAACATTCTTACCAGTAACAATATCATAATCTAACTTAGTTTGCAATCTACCACATCTATTACACTTTAACAATTCATCATTTCAATAATAATAAATTTTTTCTTTAGACAACGAGTAGAGCTAACAGATTATTGGCCAAAACAATATCCAGAATCTACCACAGGAATAAAATTTTTGGTGATGTATCTAGGACGGGTTGATACTCCCGGTGTCAGCACATCAATGGAAAACTTTTACAACAATTTAAAAATCAATTAAAATCTATTGATCAAGGAATTGATACAACTTTATGGGCAGCATTTAGTAAGGAAGTATCAGATATTTCCAGTGAATCATTCTTGTTCAATAGGCAGGTAGTTTCATCACACTTGCCATCGGCTCAAACCAAATCTATTCAACAAGAAGTTGAAGCTTTAGTAGAGCAAATTGATAATTATGTAGATGTAGCCTTAAATTTTTGAACATGAACCATAATTTAAATATTGGATTTTTTTTCTCTTATATTTCCAATTGAAAAATCACAATAAACATTTCAAAATTAATTTATTTATTTAATTAGTTTATTATCACTATTATTACTACTATATATGATTCTACTACATGCTCTTCAGAATCATACTACGATATAAAGTGTATGTAAATTGCTCAGCTATTTATATATTATATATATAGTACACTCCCTTTATAATGGCCTTTTCTATAACGGCCTACATTCTATAATAATAACGAACTGGAAATTGGATCCTGGTTTTTTACTATATAAAAACCCTACTCTATAACGGTCTTCTTAATTAAATTTCTTATAGTGTATAATGGCCTGTCCCCGAAATTCACTTATATTAATATGTTATAACTGAATTATAATTGCAAATTAGGAAATTTTATTATTAATATTTTTTAACATTACATGTTGATTTTTTATTTTTATTTTTAAAATTTAATTGATTTGATTGATTTTATTATAGCAAGACTTAAAGAAATATTTGATTTTTCTTTTTTTTTTTTCAGATTATTTCACGAGATTATACCCGTAAACATTAATTAATATAAATAAATATTTTTTAATAAATTGTCCAATTGAGGTAGAGTTGGTTCCTCCCTGATATATTTATTTAGTGCAGTAGGTGTGAAATAAATGGGCCTGCTTTCATAATCGTTTGCTATTATTTGTATTTCTTCCTGTAAATATAATTGTGATTGAATAATAAGCAAGACTTCATTATAAAAGTCAAAAGAAAAGATAAAAAATGTATACCTCTAATTTTGAGAAATGATGCATGCATAATACCATTAATGGAAAAGAAGATCTGTCCATGACTAATTTAGTATTTAGCCATGGTCACGCTTGATAGATTCCGTCATGATTAAGAGTCATAAAGAATGAATCAATTTTGTCACCTAGATTATCAAATGGATTTTGTAAAAATCAAAAAAATACTGCAAAAATAAAAAGCAAAAAATCACAACCAACTAAAGCTAGAAGCAAAACTATTTTGAAGAGGAGGCGAAAGTCAAAACTAGCTTCAACTTTTGCACAGTTTTGCTACTAGCTTTATGACAGACATATACCCATGTTTGAAAGGAACATTGTATAGTTTGGTCCACCTTTCTTGCTTAATAATTGGTTGATCGAATGTTTTGCTCGTGTATTAATTTTAACAAAGTCTTTGTTTTTCTGGAATGGAGTATAGCCACTTGGTTTTATTTCAGAGTTTAATATGGTGATATTGTCAATTCTGCAACTAAAATCTGGTCTCTTGAGAGAGTTATCGACACATTTGTTTAATCTTACTTCATAGTTTTTGAAGCTGCGACAGAAAAAAGGTTTTAATAGTGGATGAAGGTAAAAACAACAATGTTCATCTTCCGTCATTTTTGGCTTTGGTACCAATGGAAGCTCATCCTTTCTAATGGGTGTAAAATAATTCAAATTTAGTCTTTTTCCAATGAATTTTGTTTTCAGTTTTTTTTTAATCATTCATGTAATATAAAAAAGATTCTTGATCAAGTCACTTACAATATGTTAAATATTCTATAGGCCTTTTTGTCAAACTCACTATCACCATTTGATTCGAGAGTATAATCTAATCCAATTGCAATTTGACTACAAGCGTAGTATAACGATGTTGAAATCGGTGCCAATATCGATTCTTTCATTTTATATGGATTTGTGTCAATTATCTGCTTCCATTCTGAAGAGGTAAATGTATTGTACGGACAAGGCCATGTCAATACAATAATTGAGGTGAGCGCCCTAAGTAAATAAAAAAATGAGTAATACTGGTATACAATTCAACTATAAATATTTTAGAACACTTACAAAACTTCGTGTGTATCATTCCAAGTCATTTTTCTTCCTTTGGTTGTTATTTCCATGATTAACTGTGACTGAAATTTCCTGAATTTGCTTGTCACGTTAACGACACCAACTATCCACTATAGATAATTTACAAAAAAGTATGTTGTATCTACGTTTTATTGTATATTACTAAGCAAATAATCAAAAATATGGTTTACCGCATACCTCGTTCAATGGAACAGACTTCAATTGACACTTTAATTTATCGAAATTAAATAATGAGGGATCCTGATGTACAAAAGAAAGAAATGATTCCACAATGTAGGAGAAAATTCAATATACTTTATTCGCTATTTAATCTAATTAAATTAAAATAAAAGGAAAAACAACTTAACCAAATTTTCTTTCTCTCCTTCATCTACTACAGCTTCATCTCTATATTAAGAAATTAAAAATGGATGTAAGTTTACATATATGTTAAATTTTCTTAAACCACCACCATTCTTTGTTAATAACTAGAGTGACGACGGGTGGCGGGCGATAACCACCACCACCATACTTAAAACACTTACCCATGTCATTCCTTATTTTTGTTATTGCTTTTTTTATTTTTTTTCTCATTGAAAGACATCTTTACAAATGAAAAAAATAAAAGATGAAAGTTTATTTAATTGATCGATGCGTACACACTAATTATTTATCCTATTGGTTTTTTTTGGTAGGACAGACGCGAATTGATTTTTCTTTTCTTGGAAAAACAATAAAAACAATTTATTTTTTGACAGAGTCCAAGGTGACAAAACATGAGTGTTGTTGTTTGGTTTGGTTTGGGTCTCCTAAAAAAGAAGTGTTAATAACTAACCAGAGGTACTTTTTTTTACTTGTATTGATTGATATTTTTATTTTGGTTATTATAAATATTTTAATTGGAATCAAAACGCGGAGCAGATCTTGCTGTGGTAATTACAAGATTTTCATTGATAATATTTGGCTTTTCATGATTATTAATATTATTAATAATATTATTATATAATTATAATCACAGGATGTCAAGACAATACACTGTTGAAAAAGAGACAATTCAAATATGCGATGTTTGATTATTGGAAATGGCAGGTGTTGAAGCACACACGCTGCCTTGAACACAATTACAGTCATTCCCACGTATTCCTTGTGTACATAAGGCTAATCTGACCACGCTGCCCCCAATGATATGATATGCTACAGAATTCCAGGGGGGAGCCCAAGGCCCTGGAATTTACCAAGACTGCATCAATTGTCAATGACGCCTTCACTAATCTTCACAGCATCCAGACCAGAGATTGCCACTGCCACGCTAGCCGAAAAGTTACCTGAAACAATCCCACCTCTAGGGCAAGGATGGCACTGTGACCAAGTCGTAACTCTGCTGATGAATTGTAGTGCCATGTAAATATCCAGATCCATCAAAGCAACAAGAACCTGCAGCTCGTTCAAGCACAGGAGGTCGCAATTCAGAGCAGGGTTGGTGGCCCTGAAATTGCATTTGGACTCTGATGTTAAGAGGAAAGTTGTAAAATAGTGTTAGTTTTGTATAATCATTTTCCTAAATGCTCTGTTTCTCTGATATTAACTAACCAATTTATGATTTTGGATAGGGGACTGGATGGGTTTTTGCCCAATCAGTTCTCTGTCCTATAGGTTAAAATTTTCGCATGATTATATACATCCTTGTTGGCAATATGGCCAACAAGAAAAAGCCATAAAAATGGTTCAGATTTTGTTTGGTATGTTTTGTATAAATTAATCATTTTCATAAATTTTCTGTTTCTGCTTTTCTTTAATTTTTATTTGACCAACTGAACTTGTTATTTTAGTAAATGGGGGTAGGGTTGTTGGTGAGTAGGCATGCCACTGACAAGACAGGGGATGCCTTTGGGATATACCAGCCAAACTCATAGAAAGGGATCTTTTGTCCAGACTTAGGGTCACATGGATGTTAAGCACAGAAAATGTACACTATCAATGTATATTTTTTTCAACAAAATAAACATTTAAATAATTAATTGTTAAATATTAATACTTTTCTTTTCATAAAAATTACAGCAACCCAGGACTCAAAACTCTGAATTCAGGGAAAATCCAAAGCAGCAATCCAGGTTGCAACCTCCTGAGTTGCAGAATTTTCAACCAGTTGCAGGTGCCAACTTTTATGCTAGTGTGGCAATAACATGCAGCAATCATCACACAAATGTCAACTCTCATCAGTGATCAAAGCCAATATGGTGACAGCCAAGCCTGGTCTGAGGGGAGGATAGGGAAAGTTTTGTCCAAAGCCTTCCAACATATGGGGGCCTTCACTGTGGAAACAATTCCACAATTATGGAGGTGTGTGAAAGCACCCAACCATATGTTTGTGATAGGAAATTTTAATTAAATCTGACACCTGTGATCAAAATCAGATTTATTATTCATAATTGATAATCAGGAAAAACAATTTATTTTGTAAATCCCAGAGATCTGGGTAGACACACATTATTAAAAGTTTCATTTATGCATGGCCTTGATGTTATTTATTACCTGGGTGATGCAATTGTTTGTTATGTCAATGATGATATCAAATGTATTGAATAATCATTGTGATGAATATGGAGACAAAGGAATTCACACATGAGGAAAGTATTAAATAGCAATATTGTATCTTATTTTATTTTTTATTTTAACCAAGATATATAAAGAAAAAATACAAGATAAAAAAATTGCCAGAGTGATTGCATGGAATCCAAGGCTGGAACAATCACACCATTACATGTTCCAAGGTCAATCAAGCAATTATTTGAATCCATTGGTGCACTTATTGAAAGGGATTAGGTTTGTATGCAATTTAAAAATTTTTTATGTTAATTTAGGGTTCCATTTTTCTTTGCTCTTGTAGTTTGCATTTTACAATTCAAGTTATTTACCTTAATGTAATTATCATTATCAAATTAATTTTTAAGTTTCAAAAATTGATTATTTTGAAAAATATAATTTTTATACATTTGTAAAAGTTACTTTTCAACAAGATAAATTATAAGTATTTTTGAACAGGTACTTTAATTATTGTAAAAATACAAACTACCTTTATTTCTTAGAGGATAATCCTTTTTATGTTAAAAATACATAATAATATATAAATAAAAAAAATATAAATAAATTAAGCATGGTGGACATTCAATTTGTGTTACAAAGTAACATACGCGCATTTCCAAATAAGTACATCAATTTATTTGTTTATTGTGATACAGAAATTGAAAGTTTTATTGGTTGATCAAATAATAAAATAATAATATAAATAAATAGTAATAGTGAAATTAATTTTCAGAAGTATCCATTAAAGGTTCTGGAACAGGTTCTAATTTATTTTTTAAAAAATTATCATTAGAAAACTATAAAATAATAAAAAATTTTTATTATAAATTTTATTTACCTTGTTGTAATTTAATTAAAGCAGCTCTAATATTTATATTGAGATTGTTTGATGGTAAGTTAGAATTGAATTCATCAAAATTATCATCATCATCATCATCATTTGGTGATGATAAATCTAATTCATCAGGATTTTCTAATTCAATTTGATACTATTAGTTGTTTTGATTTTTTTTAAAAAAAAGCAAAGATCAGCCAACATACTTGCTATTTTCAATCGATCTCCGAATCTTTGTTTAATTCTAGATTGAAGATATTTTGATTCGCTGAATTCTCCAACCAAAAACATCATTGAACAGTCTGAACATTTTGACAACTGTATCTCAATCAACTTCAAAATTTTGTTGATTACTGGATCAAAAAATGATTTCACAGTATCAAAATCAAGATCAATGACCCATTCATCCTCATCTGATAATTGATCTCTTTCTGACCCAGTGACATATTGCTTAAGTGCTGGACATTTTTTCTCAATGTCCAATTCAATGGTTTTGAATTGGGATTTTTCACCAGTGAATGGAATTTTAATATCAGGACAAAAATATTTATGTATTAAATAATTAACCTGACCGTAGTATTTCTCCTTTAACATGTTCATTGCAGATTTACCTACTCTACTTTCAAGAAATTTTAAGAACTCATCATCAACATAGGTACCTCCAAAAAAACCTCCTGAATGCTCAGTCACTTCTCCTATTTGTCCATCTGGTAATAATTTTCTAATTGTTAAATCCACAGTTCCTCCACCACAATCAACAACCAAGTATTTTGCTAAGTTAAATCATACAGTAACAATGTATTAAAAAATTATAAGCTGAGTAAAGTGAGCCAAAAAGCATTATTATATATACCTCCTGTTACTAATTCAAGATCTTTTAACATATTTATACAATGAATTGCAGCAGCTTCCGCTAAGATTTAGATTGAGTATATTAGATGAAAACCAATAATGTGATAATGGCACATGTAGTGCTTGAAAATGCTTTCTTACTTACGTTCAGTGATAAATTGAAGATTTAGTGTGCCAATTGATTTGATTAAACCAGCATTGTATATACATTTTCTCATAATTGCCTTGGTATCTTCAGTGGATTCTAAAATGATAATTTTTAAAATAGTTAGTATATTGTGTATATAAATGTGTGTGAGTTTATAAATATAATAGCTAGTTACCAGCAGATACTGTAAAAACAAGTCGCACATTATTGTAAAAATCAATTCCATACCAATGTTTTTTTACGTTCTCTTTGATTGTCTATCATATCATAAAAAATTCAAAAACTAAACTGTCATTATGTAACAATGCCCGTTTTTCTGCCTCATAACACATAAACTGGAGATATAAAGTATTTTTATCATATGGGGGCTGTTCTAGGAAAAAGTGGGTTTCTTCAGATTTTTTGTTTTTGAGATATTCATAAAAACAAAAAGCACCCCATTTTTGTTGATCATCCGATCTGTACTACAATTAAAAATGTCTGTTGAAAAACTTTTTTTTGATTTGGTAGAACTGGGATTAGAAGAATATGAAGAAAATGAATTTGTATTTAATACCATTGCTGAAGTGCAAGAAATTTTCCATAACTCTGAAAATTGCACTTGTTATAGACGTAGTAATACTAAAAATTTTCACCCTTGCTTTGAAATAATTGGTTTTAAACCATTTTTTGAACGTTTAATTCATTTAAAAGGTTTAGATAAAAAAGAAAAAGATTTATTTATTAAAACACAACTAATGATGGGAAATCTCTCTAGTAATAAAGATGACCAAAAAGTTTACTATAAATATCAATTTAATGGTTTGATAAAAATATGTCAGAGTATTTTTATGAAATTATGTGGTATTGGGAAACGGACTTTGGAAAATTTACAAGATCATTACAAACAATATGGACTTGATGAGCGTATTCATGGAAATACAGGTCGTGCACCATCACTGGAATCTAAAATTAAAATAACAAATGAAATTGCAACTTCAGTTAAAAACTTTTTAAATAACTATGCTCTTGATTGTGGATTACCTTCACCAATGCGAAATCGTAAAGATTCTGATGTTTTTATTTATTTACCTACTGATGCTACTTATACTTCTGTTTATGAAGAATATAAAAGACATTATATAAAAGAAATTGATAATAATGTGATCTCACGTGTTAGTTTCTGTAGACTTTGGAAACAACTAATGCCCCATTTCAAATTCCAACCATTAGCTACTGA